CTTTCTCTTTTAACAATGTTTTCTTTTTCATTATACGATCTCGAGCCAAAACTGTTTTAAAATAAATTTTCAATATCGCAATTACATTCTAAATCACTAGCTATAAGGGCTAAAATTAAAAATAAAATTATAAAAACTTACTTGTTAAAATAAAATGTGTGATGGATATACAATTATACATACCTGGTACAAAATATTCGATTGTATGAATATAATTTTGTGAAGAAACGTACATAAAAATAGCATAAGATATTCTTTACTTTTTAAATATTAAAACAATCCACTTACTTGTTAGTTAAAAGTGCTCCCTATCAGTGACTCGTGGATGGAATCAGAGACGATCTTGGTAGGTGTGCGGTGCGTGCATGCGTGCCAAATCCCGAGGGTGCCGATACCGGTTAATGTCTCTTTTGTCTCATCACTAGTATATCTCAAAGGACGCGAGTTGGAGGGAGATATAAATGCGTAGAAATTTTCTACGCATTTATATCTCCCTCCAACTACGTCACTGTCCCACGTGATCCTGCCACGGACCAATGTGAAGTCGGAAAACCCCGCCATCGGCTAACAGGTGGTATCAAGGAAGGAAACGGAAATGAACGGTACAAACATACGCGCGACGCGACATAAACGGAAAACAAAACAAAAATATATATAATACTATAATAGCCACGAAGTGCTACATGTTAAAGGAAATCTTATCAAGCATGTAAGATTAGAACATAAGCATATCCTGATAAAGGAAAAGTCTATATTCTGTCGCGAAACTTCATGTTCTAAAGCAGCGATTCCCAACCTGTGGTACGCGTACCCCTAGGGGTACGCGATAGGTTGTTTAGGGGTACAGAAAAAAGTTAGTTATTATGGCAGAAAAAATAATATATTATGTATCACAAACTAATAGTATTAAAAAGTTATTAGATAAAAAATGTTCCTTGCAACAATCACAACTTTATTATACATTTTTTCTTTTAGGTTTTTTTTCTTTAATTTAAAGTTACAATATGTAAAATTAACAATACGGTTACTCACTAAATTTCTTAAATGAGGGGTACAATTTAGAGATATGACATGTCACGGGGTACAATCTAGAGATATGACATGTCACGGGGTACGCTAATGAAAAAAGGTTGGGAACCACTGTTCTAAAGGATTTTCTACTTCCCTTCGATTACGTGAACATTTGGAGAAAGTACTGTACCTGTACAGTACATGGATTTTCCTGTGAAATTGAGAAGATGCAATTCAAAAATATGAAGGGTAAGTAAATTCTGTTCTGAAATTTTAAAAATGCTGTATTTAATTAATATATCTTAAAATAATTGTTTTCATGAATATTAACGGCTCATTCAGTTGTAAATAAAAATACTATGTACAGAATTGTATTTGACAGATTTCTACGAATGGAAAGCCACAGAGGAGATGAGAACCAACTAAAGTTAACTGTGTCGTAGTGTCTAAGAAATCATGGAATTTATAAATTCTACTCGTGCCGCTCTGACACATGGGATCATGACTGCACTCAATTCAGAAATGTACCTACAAAAATAAAACATTTAATAACAGATTGTGTATACTACGTATAATGTTGCAAATGTATAATTTTCAATAAATCTTTTTTTCTTAGCTAACATTCAAATAAGTCATTGCAGATCTGTTAAATGAGGCTACAAAAAGTTCACTAATATTTTACTGACGTTGATAATTTGTTGATGGATTTAAACTACCAAAAGACTTTACTCAAATTATACAAGATACACTTAACTCTTGGTATTCGCCAGGGTTAGGTTTTTTAAAAATCTCGTGAAAACCAAATAAGGATGCCTATGGAGAAAATTGAGTTTGGTTTTGTGGAACGTTTCAAAGATAAACGTTAATTGTAAAATAAAATACAGTAATACCTCGACTTACGCTACCCCGACTTACGCGATTTTCAAATCTCGTCGATTCGTCTTTTGTTTGAGCGCCACTCAACTCTTGATTACTCACTCCCCTCACACTATTGTTCAGCTTATATGTTCGGACGTGTCGCGCGGAATCGACACATAGCTACAATTTATTTTGTTATTTATTTCTGTGTTTGTTATATCTACGAAAACTTGAGAAACTCTTGGTGGTGATTTCTTGTAACCGTGAACGAATCAAAAGACGAGATAAGATTAACGAGAACATTTATTAGCTTACATATATCCGACTTGGATTTTACACAAATTGCGAAATTAACCCCGACTTACGCGAATTTGACTTACGCGGTTATCGCTCGGTCCCACCTATCGCGTAAGTTCGGGGTATTACTGTATTGCAAATTTTCTAATATAAAACGTTTAAATTATTTCTAAAAAGCAATGAATAATTTTATTAAATACAAAAACAGAAAAGAAAAACAAAAATTTCGAGTAAGAGATTGAAAAATCAGCAGTGGTGTGCCGTCATTAGAAGCGGTGGAAGCGTCGCTTCCCTTGTATTTTATAAAAAATAAATACATATTAATTTTAATTATATGAAAATAATCGCACAATATTTTATTATAACCGCATTATGTATCTTATTACAAATTTCTATACTACACGTTAAAAAATAATAAATAAATAAGATTGCTATTGTATATTCGAATATTAGTGGCGGAGTGGAATCTCTGTATTGTCAGATTCCAAAAAGGCAGATTTGCGCACGCGCTTTACAGAGCACCAACCTCACCCGGTTTAGCCGGTGGAAGCCTACGACCTGGAGTTGATGCTACACATTCCAACGCTTCCAATTACGTGATTACGTGAATAACGAGTAGATTTATGACTTAACCCAATTCGATATGAATTTACTGGTGTTTTTACGATAGTTTTGTATAGTTGACAGGAGTTTAAAAAAGCCATTAAAATATTTGATATGTTTATTCCGCTCTCCGATTTTATATTACTCACGGATTTCAATGTTAAACCAGTGATATTACGATTTTGTATGTACCATCTCTAAGGGGATGTAGAAAAAAACGTGTACAATTCTTGTACAATGTTAAAAAATTAATTGTTACTTCGACAGCGTCATTTACAACTAAATTTAACGAATGAGAGAGATGCACCAGGTACAGAAAAAGCTCTAGAATTTATTTTCCTTAAATTTACGATTTATGTATCCGTTTGTCATAAAAATTTGTCTTTCCACTTTTTTCCCGAGACTACAAATATTCGAGTACAAAGTAATCGGTTTCGACTTATTTCTACTTAAGAAGTAGTTAAATAATTAAGCGATTAGGGAATTGGGGACGTAAACAAAACCCTGATGAAAGAGCCGGAATTTTACTTAAACAAAAGCCTAACCGGACCAATATCTAGCCGAGTACAGTGGGACTGATTTCTTCGTAATATTAGATGTAATAAAGACAGAAATTTTTCCAGTTCAATGAAAGTGAGTAAAAGTTGTAAATTTTGGAAATTTCCGTGGACACCTGGTCTTAAAACGAATTACAGTAGTTAGAAAACAAATGACTTTTAAGTTTAACAAATTTAGATTTTTACAGCT